CTCATCTATATATCGTGGAGTTGGGAGCTGATGATTCCTATACACACTACGAAGATGGAACTGAGAACTTATCTATATATCGTGGAGTTGGGAGCTGATGATTCCTATACACACTACGAAGATGGAACTGAGAACTCATCTATATATCGTGGAGTTGGGAGCTGATGATTCCTATACACACTACGAAGATGGAACTGAGAACTCATCTATATATCGTGGAGTTGGGAGCTGATGATTCCTATACACACTACGAAGATGGAACTGAGAACTCATCTATATATCGTGGAGTTGGGAGCTGATGATTCCTATATACATCACGAAGATGGAACTGAGAACTCATCTATATATCGTGGAGTTGGGAGCTGATGATTCCTATATACATCACGAAGATGGAACTGAGAACTCATCTATATATCGTGGAGTTGGGAGCTGATGATTCCTATATACATCACGAAGATGGAACTGAGAACTCATCTATATATCGTGGAGTTGGGAGCTGATGATTCCTATATACATCACGAAGATGGAACTGAGAACTCATCTTTATATCGTGGAGTTGGGAGCTGATGATTCCTATATACATCACGAAGATGGAACTGAGAACTCATCTATATATCGTGGAGTTGGGAGCTGATGATTCCTATATACATCACGAAGATGGAACTGAGAACTCATCTTTATATCGTGGAGTTGGGAGCTGATGATTCCTATATACATCACCAAGATGGAACTGAGAACTCATCTATATATCGTGGAGTTGGGAGCTGATGATTCCTATATACATCACGAAGATGGAACTGAGAACTCATCTATATATCGTGGAGTTGGGAGCTGATGATTCCTATATACATCACCAAGATGGAACTGAGAACTCATCTATATATCGTGGAGTTGGGAGCTGATGATTCCTATATACATCACGAAGATGGAACTGAGAACTCATCTATATATCAAGAAGAATGAGTTAATAATGACTCCACCACGCCTCAAATAAAGAGAACTGCTCTGAAATGTAATCTGGGTCAGTGATTCGAAGGGAAACCCGACTGTGATCTTTAGATCGCTTATGAAACATGGTATGGTCAAATGCTTGGTATGCAGCACCACGCATCCAATCCAATCCGTTATTTTGTTACGTGACTATGCGAATACTTGGTAATAGGTTTAATGATTTTTTAATCGGAACACATTTAAACTCTTCTGTAGTTTATTTAACAAATTACTACGCTTTAATGCTGTAGACTCCTGTGATCAGATTCGTAAGTGATTTCAAACAATTATAATCGTATTCGAATTTCAAAATATTATACATGCTTTTACAGTGACAACCCCATCATATGGATTGAGAAAAGGGATCTGCAGTAGTGCAGTCTGCGTCTGCGATAGTTTAAATACAGGGCAGTACACACTGTATTTAACACTGATACAATAGTGACTAAAACTAAAGCCATTGTAAACTCATACTTCTCGTATTCAATTTGCCTACCCATGAGCTTGTCAATTTGAAGAAATAAAAATAATTTCAATGATTACGTTTATACTACACCTTAGGTATTTCATACATAGAAATAAGAGAAAAAATAAGAAAGGATAAATATTAAACAGCTTTGCATTTCCTTTTGACTAATTCCAAGAAGCTTGTCTTAAAACTAACTATAGCAATCGAACTTTATTGAAACTTCAAAATATCACTTTGCAGTAGCTCGGGTCACACATTCCATGTAATCTTTACCACAACAGTCCTTACAGGTATACAATCCAAGGAACATGTGTTCCACTTCATCACTGCAGAAAAGCGGGTCATTTTTCTCGGAATGCAATGTGTAATGTCCGTAAACGCCTTAAACAATCTCATCCGAATTCGTGACACAGTGTTGGCCGAGTGATCTGTCGAGGTAGGCCCTAGATGGAGGACGGCTGCTCGAGAAAGTGCGATCGGACGGTATATGGAGCTCCGGCGGAAATGCAGCAACGCCGGCTTTGGAAACTTGGCACATTCCAGGTTGGTGGAAAGTATCGTCGTCGCCTGCCACCTTTTTGTTGATAACATCTCAGAAAGAAGTGCTTGTAAGTGCGACGATCAAACGGATATCGGGCCAAACCTTGCTTGGTGATTGCGGCACAAGGCGTATTTGGAGATTGTACTCATGGTTTTTATTTCTACTGGCCTTTTTCGATTACAAAGATAGGTTGATGAAATAAAAAACCATGTCATTCGGTATAACATGGATTAGGAAAATTCATCTGTTCTTCTACTTATGAGTTGTAACTATAAGTATCCTACAACGTTGGTAAATAAAACGAAAACAAAATATCATTGTAAAGTCGTCCATAAAAGTCGTATAGGCAGCATTATTCAAAATTAAAGGGCGGCTTCCCTATATTTTATGGCGAAAGGTTAACTTAAGATTTAAATGCAGTTAACTTTGAGATTTTATATTATTGAAAATATGTAATTAATTACTGTTACGCTTTCCTCAAATCCTGTTTAATCGCTGATCGTGGTTTAAATTCTAGTTTAAGCCCGGATTCATTTTACTCAAGATAATTTCTCGGTTTAAACTAGGTTTGAGTTAACCTTTCAGGTGCGACCGTTTAACCTTCGATCCATGGGTTAAACCAGGAGAGAGAAATTATAACATTATTTATGATTGGCTTATTCTTGTCAAACGTGTTTTGTTTACACGTAACCTAAATCAAATTGAAAAATTCAACTGAAAACAAACCGCGAACAAGAAGCTAGATCGGTTCATGACTACTGAACATGTAGTGATATATTGCTATACAATGTTTTATGGTTTTCATAAATGTGTGGTGTGGTTTTTTTTTAGGTTAGTATCGTAATTTGATAGAAACCGATATCTTGGTCATGGGCTAGCAACCATAGAATAAATAAATATACAGTACGGACAAGTAAATAAATACTAAGGCTTATAACCATCACCCATCGACCTTTTATGTGTGTGTAGCTTTAAGTTGGAATTACTATTGACTATCGAATACTTCAGTAGACATCCCAACTACTTGGACAAGCTATAGCAATTTGTTTACTAAAGGACATAGTTGTGTGAGCCAGTCACGAATGCACTAGTGTCTAAAAATCTATTCTCACCTTAAATTTTATGCTGACAAAGTTGATGGGTCATAACACTTGCTACAGCTCACAATAAGTAATTCCCTTAGTTTGAACTAGTAAAAAAGTTCATGTATTTTACAGAAATAAGTCATTTAGATCAGCACCATCGATGGCAAACATCAACTACGACGATATTGATTAAATAAATGGTGACAACTTAAACATGGGGATGGAATGTCTAGTTGTCTCAATAGTCGAAGGTATTACCAAATAACATATACTTTTAGAAACAATTAATCAAATGAGTAGTAACGTTGGCTTGCAAAGAAAATGCGATAAATTAGATTTTGAATGCATAAAAGAACACTTAAGGTAGTCTTGGATATGATTCAACATAAAATTATTTAGGTTATGTTGAATGTTAAAATTAGGTTATGTTGCTTTACAGTTGAGCACATAGTTAAGCAACATAACCTAAGATCACCCAAGGCAGTATTTAAACATATTTATATTTTTTTATATGTTAATATTTTTATTTATTATGTTTTCTATATATTTTATATATTTCTTTTATTTGACATTCGGGTGGAATTCACTATTCAACAACTAGTATAGTATATTACAGGTATCAGCATTCTAGCATAAAAAGATTATAGGCTCTGATCCTTTAAAAGAATTAGACCTAATTCTGTAAAAGGTGACTTGAACATTCCATTAGCCTTTTATCTCGTAATATTTTATTTCCCATAGTTGCAAAGACTTTAGTCCTAAAGATTAAGTTACAACGTATAACGCCTACATAATGTGTTTTACAATGTCGAACATTGAGTGACATTGACCAAAATTAAATAAATTACAACCAAGACGCCCAAAACACAGGGAAAAATAGATAAAAACTCAAGCGGGTCTAATATTTCATGCGAAAACGTAAACTGTATCAGTGATGCCAACCCAGTAAAGAAATAAACCAGTTTAAACTAAACTAAAATTTAAACTATGTTTAAGGAAATCGATCCTTTGGTTTAAATGATGTCTTGACTTTCCTTGATTCAACATTTAAGATATCTACACTTACAACCGATCTAACGGTTACTTACTGACAGTACAGTCGGTTATTACAGTTAATAGCCCTATTCGTATGAAGGTGTTGTATTATATATACAAGCTAATAATTACGTTGATAATTATACTAACGAAGAAATTATTGTAAGTATGATAAATGTGGATAACCACTATGATATAATCCAAAATACCTATTAATACACTTAAACTATTCATTAAAAATTATTTACTATACAAAAATATTCTTTGACGTATATCAAAATAATGTTATAATCCATGTATTCGTACTTTGAATCATTACTATGAAACTAATTGCGAGTATTGAAAGATAATGATTGAATTAGATACAAATTTTCTTGTTATATTCTGTTTCCATCTAAAGTAATTAAGAAATATCCGTGAATCTGTAAACACATTGTGAGTTTGTAAGCTATGAGCATTGAATGCTTTTTACAGGTAATAAGTTAAGACAAGAAAGGGAAAATTATTGCGATAGTAATTCGATAAATACAGACATTATTGGAGACGCTGAGCCGTAAGGAAGCTTGCCCGGACCGGTCAAGTCAGTCCAGCAAGGTTTTTTATCTCCGGTTATTCAACAGTAGTTCTGATTACAGCTTTTTCTCGAAAACATAAGGTCGAGTGTAGCAAATATCCTGGATCTCGGTCTCCATCGAAATATATTGGTCTACAAGGACACTTTGGCATCTTAAAAAGTAAATTCTATTATGAAAATACGACGCAGAAAACGCAAAGCTATCTCAAATAAACTCTTAAATGATACTCGGATTGTGCTGATTCAAGTTAGTATTTGCAAGTAAATACAAAGAGGGCTATGTAAAATAACATAAAATAAACTTACATTGGCTCGATCCTGCTCCAGGGGAAAAGCTATGAACAGCCCAGAGTCACACTGAAACGAAAACATAATTTTAAATATTATAAATCATGCTTAATACACTATACATTTATGCTGACGTTCTCTTTTGAATCACAAATATTCTTCGTTTTTCAGTATTTATTTATTTCAGTATTTTAATACAAATTTTAAAACATAATTTGGGGTCGCCGGATTTCTACCCCCGGATATTTACCCCCATGAAAAAACCCCTACGTCATTTTGACGTCACGAGGGGCGGGGCCTATACACGGTCGAGAAAAAGCCCGCGACTGGAAATCTACCCCCGGACATCTACCCCCGGACATCTACCCCCAGACATCTACCCCCGGAAATCTACCCCCGGACATCTACCCCCGGACATCTACCCCCAGACATCTACCCCCGGAAATCTACCCCCGGACATCTACCCCCGGACATCTACCCCCCGAAGTCAGCTCTGTCACGTATCGGCCAATATTCATTGTTGTAATTGATTTTATTGGCTGTTTTATATAAATCAACGATTCTTCGGTTAGTAATTGCCCTCTAATATCTAGTACTAGCTGTACCAACGGGCTTTGCCCCGTTTTACTTCATAGGCCTAAGTGAGCTCGTTCGCATGGCTCAATCACGTCCTGGTTGAAATTCGTTCGCTACGCTCACTCACCTTTAGGTTGGAGCTCGTTCGCTGCGCTCACTTGCCTTCAGGTTAGCTCGTTTGCTACGCTAACTCGCCTCCAGGTTGAAGTTCGTTCGCTACGCTCACTCACCTTTTGGCTGCAAATTAGCTGTAGTCATAAATTAAAAAAAAAATATAGTGCTGCACCCTATTGGTAATCCTTGTAACATGCTATTGCACATCATAGAACAGAACCAACTTGTTTAATTGAAACAGCTGTTAATATTCATTAATTCCATTTAAATATGAGTACTCATAAGGTTAACATGGGAAACTCCAGAGCCACTGGGGCGGAGCCCGAGAGTCCAATCAGAATAAAAATAGCTTAGTTTTCCTATTTAATGCCAAAAGAATCAGTTTACCAAATTTCAGCCTCCTAGGTAAATGGGAAGTGGGAGAATTAGTGATGAGTGAGTGAGTGTGTCAGTGAGGGCTTTGCCTTTTATATACTTAGATTACGCATGTGATATATCATTGTCTTGTTTAACATTATCTATCTTCCTAATGAAATAGGCTAACAGCCCTTTTTCCATATTTTTGTAACTAACGCAATAGTCATTATTGTTTTTACACTTATTTATTACTCATTAAACAATGCTAAATGCTCACGTTTTTTATAATTTCACTCTGTCACAGTTAAAAGAATTATCGTAAGCCTTTAAAGCAACCGTCGATTTTGACGGGTTTCACCTAGTAATTAATTAATTTATTGATCAACCAGTGGCAGGCTTTTTATTAACATTTAATTGCACTGTATTTTTACCTCTAGTAATCAGAAAATATTCTCCTTCAATGATATGTATTAAATTTTACGATATGCGTTCGTGCATGCGCCGTTAGCTGTTACTGTGTGTGAAAGTTGGCCAAACATTTAAATCACTGTCTAGAAATAAATCAAATGCTTAAGGTCCAAACTTTTGAAGCCCTTGATCAAAATATCGTTTTAATTACCATTTTGCGTTGCGCTAGATCTTAAGATTTAAAATTACACCTCAATCATAAAAATCGGTGAAGTAGTTCGGGTGAAAAAGGGCTGTTACAGCCTATTTCATTAGGAAGATAGATAATGTTAAACATGACAATGACATATCACATGCGTAATACTAGATATTAGAGGGCAATTACTAACCGAAGAGCCGTTGATTTACATAAAACAGTCAATAAAATCAATTACAACAATGAATATTGGCCGATACGTGACAGAGCTGACTTCGGGGGGTAGATGTCCGGGGGTAGATTTCCGGGGGTAGACGTCCGGGGGTAGATGTCTGGGGGTAGATGTCCAGGGGTAGATGTCCGGGGGTAGATTTCCAGTCGCGGGCTTTTTCTCGACCGTGTATAGGCCCCGCCCCTCGTGACGTCAAAATGACGTAGGGGTTTTTTCATGGGGGTAAATATCCGGGGGTAGAAATCCGCTACCCCCATAATTTGTTCCGGTACATCCTCAGGTATCAGAATAAAATGTGCGAGGTAAGCATAGGTTGATATGCAAATCAAATTAAAGGTATTTTTTAGACAAAAACAATGCCGCAAACCCGACCTCAAACGGACAACCGGGTCAAAAACTGCAGCATTGCGAATATTGATAAAATAGCAACAACTAAGTGAGGTAGGGTTTTTAAAAATTTAAAGAGATAAGTATGAATGAGGTGCTTCGTTATCTTATCGGTTTAAAGGTCCCTTATCGCCGAACGCCATTCATTCGCGACATAGTCCTTGGGTATTTAAATTTATCTCTACCATGGAATGTCATTGATTTTAATTTAGACTTTTAAAAATCGTAACTTCGGAACGGAACATGCTATAAGAGTCGGGTTTTCGCAGTTATGTTCCGCTAAAGTAAAATCTTTAAACTAAAACGTGTTTTTGTATTATTAAATAATTCTGAATATTTTAAAATGTAGCCTACATTATCAAAGTCAGCAGGCAGTTACAAACAAATATTTAACTAATTCAAAACGTAAACTTTAACTTTCAAAGACACTTTAAAATGTTGTTTTCACCAATGGTTACGTTTTTAATGTTTACACCATTGCCCATACATTTTCATGTAAGGTCCACACTGTGATCTTGTTTCTACTGTCAAGGGCTCAGCTGACATGAGTCCTTCACTATAGCAATGAAGTAACTTGCTCAGTAATTATCTAATTTTACAACATGACAGCAAAATAGTGCTATGGTCCATGGAGGCAGCTACCTAGTGATCTGGGCCATGGGAGGAATTAACCCCAATTCGATAGCCTCTAGTGTAAGGGACAAGAGCGGTAGCTAATGTACCTGTATTGTATGTCGCAACTTACCTACCTTCTGTAGATCACAAACTACAGCTAAGGACGGAACTTGAGCGAAGGAATTGAGTGTGAGCGCAAAAGAAACAAGTAAAACAGGAGACAAGTTATTTATCTAATAATGACATTTAAAAATCACTGATAAAAGAAAATCCTAAAATATCTTTAGTGGATTAACAAAAATAAATTAAATTTGTAAGTGCAACACGAATTACGTTATAACAAGACAATATAACGAAACTGTAACACAAAATAACAACGAACATCATAAAGTGTGTGTAATGTACAGCAAACAGTGATTTTACTGAGGTCTAGTTAGATATATTAGACTGTGACGCATGGCGTGACGCTATATTTTTTTATAGTGTGAGCATTCCCGAAGCCGGGCTACATGTCAAGCTCTTCCCACCTTCCTACCTACTCACCCCATCTTTGTCGGCCATAGAAGAGGAAGCAGCCGAAATGAAGACCTCCTCCTCAAAATTCGGATTAGTTTAAGTTTAAGAATTATGTACTAATAAGATAAATTAATATGTCTGACTAAGTCAGGAAGCAGCGGGGAACCCTTCAGGGATTCCCGACATTCGGACTGTAGAAATTATCATTTATTATACTTTTGGAACATGAAATTAAATCACATTAAAAACTCCATAAATTAAAACTCCAGAAAAATGTCATTCACTCAGCAGTATTAGCAACCAATTCACCATGTTCAGTTCATAATATATACGTTTGGTAGGATATATTTAGGTAGTTAGTTAAATTAGTATAAATCAAAGCTGGTTAAGCAGGTGTCTGATCTGGGTAAAAGATCTCCGTCCCTCTGGTCCCCGGCAATCTTCAGCAGATTCAGCACGCTTAACATAAGTTTGTTCCAGATATAGCGATTCCCAACCCATCAGCATTACCCCATTATTCCCTCCGTAATTCCCAAATTCCCATCAATTTCCCCCAAGTATCAAACTTTAAATTTACTTCCCCACCCCGCTACAAGACAAATAAATAAATGTAGTCTTTTCTTTACAGTCGAGTTTATGAGAGTGAGCTAGTCAGGTGATAGAGCACTGGGCTTCAGACACCCCAAGTCCTGGGTTCAAATCCCCGCCAATCACCTATGGCATTAAATTTAGCTTTTCCATTTGTGTGCTCTTAGTCTAGCCTGAAGTAATGTTTAAATCGCGTTTCTCCCCCACACAACATAGATTGCACCACATGACAGCCTGTTCCATACATAGTTGCATCATTGTGCTGTGTAGCGCTCTTGTATCATAATCTATACCGACAAGAAAAACTCGTTCACATTGACCTTATACTTATCAGGGTTTTAATTTTCTCACCGGTCGGTTAACGATTTCTTCATTTTCCTGCTTGCATAAATCCATTAATCTATTTACGGAAAAGTTTTACAGGCGAACCAACACTATTATTTGACCGGTTAACTAGACAAGTCGAGACTCTGACATCAGTTATTATCTAGTTATACCTAGTTAGGTGGAACACTGAAACAGTACACAAGGGGTGTATTAAGCACATAGCTTTTACATTTACAGTGAAGAAGAGCTGTTTTGTGTTTGCGAGTGTTGTGCGAGTTTGCTGGATGTGTTGTTTAACAACTTGTTTTCTGACTTACAGAAAATGATACTCAGGTTAGTGAATATATAATCTAAGGGTCAGTTTTAAAATGTGGTAGTGTCTCCGCAGCATTTGGGAGACAGGGGGCTTCCTGAGGTAGTTAGATCCCAATTATTTTACTGAGGTCTAGGTTAGGTTATGTTTAAGTTTTCTAAATTCGGCTTTCAAATTTCCAAATCAGAGGTTTTATCGAGATCATATAAGTTTTCACGATTGATTCTCGTTATTTAGGGTAGAGAAAATATTATATTTATAATATAATGCTAAACATTCTATTTCGTCGTACCAAATAGGGTCTAGCAAAAAGCCAACTTTTACGAAGCACAATAAATAATATACAATATAATTTACACGTATTAAAATATAGTTTTAATTTTCAATCCAGTTTGATATTTACATTTTTAAATTTAAAACATAATATCACATACATGTGG